GATAACAATATGGAGTTTAAGTAGAAAAGTTTCCGCTATCGCGGACGAGACCGATTACGTAGTTTGCGCTTCTGTCCCGTGCGCGCCAACACCTGCTCTTCTTGACGAGAGAAAAAAAAAAGATAAAGAGAGAGAGAGAGAGGGGGGGGGGGAAAGAAGAGCAATCGTGCGTATATATTATTTTCCATAACTTTTTTTTATATCGCGCCAAAATAGAAATAGAATTTCGTCTCGCATTTCGCGCCCGCGTAATTCCCTCACACAAACACACGTTTAACATTCAAGTTTAACGCGAACGGACGGCATGAGTTTAATAATCCGCGACTGTCACGCGGGCGTTTCCAGATCTGCGAGTATCGCTGACGATTTAGAGATTTAGACGGACCGTGTGTTCGCCCGACATGCTTTAAAGCATCCTCGATACTCGATTTCGTCGTCGCATCAACAACGATATCGGGGATGTCGTATCGCGCCCGCGTTTGATACCGCCCTGCCGTACCGTTTCCGACCGATACTACTTTCGAATCGATGGGCATGCACAAATGCAACCGGATTACGTGTGCAGCGAAAGGAGGAGAAGCGACCGTGATCCATGTTTTACACTTCTCTCGCCAAATGCGCGCAATTTTCACGCGTGTCGTCTTATTTATATTCCGTGTCCAATCTCAATTTTCTGAATGCAGATGTTTCAATTTTTTCTTTTTTTTGCTGCAATGAAGGCTCGCAAAAATTTCTCATGTTTTTTTTCAAATAAATATATCATAAGCAGTACCGTATTTTTATAAATATATACATATAAAAAATATATTCTCTAATATAGTTCCTTTTTTACTCGCTAATTATTTTTACTTTTTATATCGGCTGGCGTCGTTGCATTCACGCATCAAATTGGATTCCTTTCAGCAGTAGCTGCAGTTGCATGACCTAAACGTACTTTTCCTTAAACGGGATCGTTCGTAAAGGAGGAGAGGCTTGTACGTCATAATTCTGATGCTTATACGTACATACATGCTGCAATCTGACGGAAATGCACGAGACTTACTCCACCTATTCAATGATCTCTGAGCCGTAAAGCTGTTTGGTTGTAAAAGAGTACGATTGGCTTTATATAGCAGTTTATATTACATCGGCTAAACAGCGTTGCGAGATCTCGACGATTCTTATGAATAATATTATATATATAATGTAAATCTTCTATAAAAATTTTATGCAGCTATTTGTAGCCAATGAAATTTTAATAATATAACTTTTTGATGAGAGAATGTGCATATATAAAATAAAATGAAGAAATATTATTGGATTGGGACTGTCATACATTTCCACGCTTAACAAACAAAATCCAGCACAACTTCGCGTTTATAACATTTTACAGAAAAAACTTTGTAAAAGAGCAAATCTAAAATATTGTTTGTTGGAATTTAAAATATCATGATATAAAAAAAATATTCGTTTAGCTTTTTTTTTAAATTTAGCTTCATATTTTATATTTTCCATTCTTTGCCTCTTTGTGCTGCACTTTATATCCCTTACTCGTTGCTAAATATCGTTTCCATTATTCGCTCTAGCTCTTTCGTTCTCTCTGGTCGGCGCATCAAATGATTACATTTATTAATTAGCGCGACACGGGCAGCATAAATTTGCGTCTAGCGAAATAACATTAAAGAGATACGAAAAAAGGCGTTACGAAATTTCGCATACGTCAATGTATCAAAATGAAATTCCGCGTTCATTAAATTTCGTTGCGCGATTATGAGCGATAAATTACGATTGTTATTATAAGAGAGACTCTTTTGAACGGAACGTTCTCGATTTTGCCCGCCCGATGTTGAGTTTTTTACGGAAAGAGTAATTCAAAAGCAGCGATTGGTCTTAAATATTTATTAAGTTCTATCTTGGGCGCTTCATCATATTTTCGATATGGAGAAAACTCATGCGAGAAATCCAGGAAAAGGACGTTTTATATGTTTAATGGATAAACTCGAAATAAACTCACCGTTATCGGCTATTTAAAAGATCTTGGCCTTCGCGTTAGAATGATTATTGAGCTCATTAGACATAATATATAGCTATGTCATTGTATATTTCTTTTTTATTACCAGTTTTATATGCAAAATAGAAGAATGTAAATGAGTATAACTACGTAGTGTAAGTAAGTAAAAATAATAAAATGTAAATAAAGAGTTTACAAATTGTTGAGACTAATTTTCCATTATGAATTAAAATAAGAAAAGTATTAATTGGATATTACGGAAAATTTATTGTATAGGTCAATCTATAAATTGCAATCTACGAATAGATAGAAAAATTCATAAAAAGCTAAATCCACTAAAAAATGTTCAAGAATAAAAGAGTAAAAATAAAAAGATTAAGAAAAATGCGATGGGTATTGAGTTTTTGAAATTAAAAATTCCTGATTTTCTTTCACAAAGCCAACGAATCGTTTAAAAATTGTTTAAACTTGTTTTTTTTTTTTTCTAAGAATCTTTTTACTTATTTCATATCTTCAGATATATTTTTGAACTTTCAAAAATCAGAAAATTTATTTTACAGAGAGAAAAAGAGAGAAATTTAATTCCTCTTATTATTTTTTAATTTAATTTTTTTTTCCGAGAATCTGAGGGAACATATACGCGTCGTATTATACGCGTACTTCAGATCAGGGAATTTTGACGTCAATTATATTTTTCTCTCTTAGTTTTAAAATCATTTAGGTCATGCCTCGACAGCAGAGTTAAAGCACTCATGATGACGGGGGTATAGATTGTAAAGCGTTCTCGAATGACCCTCCACCTCGAATACTCTCGTCGATCCGTTGGACACGCGTGTACGAGATGGGCGTGTGAAATAAATAGAAAAAAAAAAACGTGGTTTTGAAATACTAAAATCGGCTTTGTGTGCAATAAATTCAATTCGTATTTGAGATCTAACAGACATGTCGAAAACACGCCCTTGATATAATTGTTCCGCATTGAAATTAGATATTTTGCGATGAAACTTTACATTCTCTATGTTCTTGAAATATACTCGTGTCTGTGCGAAATGTGATAGGTGACGAATCAAATAACGTAACGTTGAGTATTCAGTTTAAATGTAAATTCTAATTTATGTGTAATTACAGAGATATATTTTAATTTTTATATATTAATATATTATATTTGTACAGATTGCGTTAATAAGATTACTATATTAATTATATGATTACATTATATAAAAAAATATATTTAATTATGCCGTAATACTGTCTGTTGATCTAACTAAAATATATAAGTATTTATCTTGCATTATTCTTTCTAAGGAGAGATAAACATTTTAATCAGACAGTAAGCTCTGAAAAATCGCGAGCTTAAATAAATGATTTATTTCTCATTCCATGTTTTCCATTAATTTTCTCTGTTTGTAACCTTAACATATTATAAAAGAGAGAATGTTACTTTCTACGAACGTATATTGCTTTTTTTTGTAGAATATTGCTGAAAAAGAGAGAGAGAAAGAGAGTAATATATCCATTTAATTTGCCTTCTAACTCTCTCGCAGAGTCATTTCCATAAACATGAATTAACCGCGGTTTAACAGGCCCCAATTAGAAGGGGAATAAATATATCAGTTGAAACCTCAATTAACTTTAACTAATATCTACGAGAGTGCAGGAGTCATAGAGATGTAACTTATAGGCTAAAGAATTAATGATTCGGAAGAGATCAATTTATATGTAAATGCAACACGCATTTTAAAACTGTTCAGTTCGAATAAACTACATTACGTATTCAGCGGTTAAAGTTTGAAATATGGCTGGAATTCCATGAGGGATCGCACAGCAGTCATTCAACGTGAAAAGGCGCACGGTATAATTACTCGGAAATTATGAGAATGGCCGCGCACCAAGTAATTGAGGGAATATAAAAAAACCGAAAGTCTCATCTCGCATTATATAACAGGGAAACGGTAGAATCCGCGGGGTTATATTTAATCACGAAATATTGGTACGATTCGCGAAAAGCACGCGGATGAGATATCACAAAAGAGGGATGCAAAAGGTTACGTATCGAAGATCTAAAAAAAGAAACTGACGAAAAAAAAAAAGAGAGAGAGAAATTGATTATAGTCGCGTCGATATACACACGCTCTGGTTACCGCGGACGAGGATCTTCGTGCACGCTTTTTTCCATAAATATCGATCCAATCCACATTGGACGAACCATAAACTCGGCTATTTCGCGAGACGTGTGTGCTTATCTTTCGGCTCGGCTTCCAAGTTCATTGATCGCGATGAGGGGGATTTTGAACGGTGTCGAGATGGAAATAAAACTATACGCGAGAAAAGGCAGGATGGGAAGAGAGACAGCGAGGGAGGAAGAAGTATCACGCGCGAAACGAATTGATTATAAAAGTGATAAATCGTGTAGGAAGTAACAATCCTCGCGCGCGCGCGCGCGCGCGCACGGATCATATTTAAATCATATTTAATTATAGCCCGCCAAATATTGGTCTATAATCCGCGAAAAATGAATTATCGAAGATTCTTATTTTCTCGAGAGAGATCTCGACGAATAAATATAACGAGAACCAATATTAGTCCCGCAATTTTCCGTCTCAAAACCTCAGGAGGGTGCGCCCACTGAGATTCACTTCTAGGACATCTATTTATAATATCATTCTCGACAGCTCGATTGTTCCGGCAAACGTTAAAAGCCAAATATACAAAATACGCGATGATCGATGATGGACTGGATGGTGTGACACCGATATGACGATAAACGACGCATCGACGTCGTTTCGCCCTCAGCTACGTGCCGGGCTTCTTAATTAGCCATCTTTATCATTAATCAGCCGACGCACGGCGGTACAAGTGTTACGAGCGTGTAGCAGGAATAGCAGGCAGCAAGTGGTAGAGGAAGAGAGAAGGGGAGAAGGTAGGGGATGTGAGGTAGAGTTCGCGAGGGGCGAAAAGTGGGCAGACGGGGTGCGCGGTGCAGTCAGCGGAAATCAGCAGAATGCCGCACCTGATCAATTAAGCTGCTAATCGCACCGAGATGACTGCTCGCCGCTATCATTCGTCAGATGATTGTCCTCCACTATCTCGCGTACCAGGATTCCGACTGCGTGTCCTGCTCATCCTCCGGCATGGTCGTCTCCCGTCCTTGGCTTAATCTCCTCTTTTCAAACTCGGACGAGCGAACGACGTTTGTCTCGACGAGATAAACCGGATCGACCTCTTCTGTCGCGCGGGTTGAGAGAAGGTTTGTCCGTCTGTCTTTCTCGAGGGTGGCGGCGGCAACGAGCACGAGTACGAGCGGGGCGACGACGAGCACGCGAGCTTGCGCGAACCTCGCACCTCGCACGACTAACCGAGGCCTGGAACTTGGGGCTTGCCTGCCACCCTTGCTGGTAAATGCTGAAGAGCGGCGCCACGAGCGAGAAACTACCCCTTCCTTCCCCTTTTCGGTTACGTGGGGAAAGAGGAAACTGCGCCGCGCCGTGCCGGCGATATATCGGATGGCGCGGAGCGCCAAGATTCTCCAGGGAAGCTCTCTGGTTTAATCGCACGCGAGCATCCTTAAACTCGCCCGAGAGATCTTTCCGCGTTTTCGCGCCCGGCGCGGCATATCTAAAAGTAATGCCGATCGTTGCGAGAATGAGAACTTAGAGTTGGTATTTTAAATGCGTGACATTTTCACGCGACACTCCTGTCAATAGCATTTTCTTGTGCCGATAGCGTCTTCTCTTCCCATGTTCGGGAGGTACTTTCTCTCAGTTCTCGCCATTTACATTATGTTTATACAACTATTGTCGGAGATACTCACAAACCGTACAATAAACGTTAGATATCAAAATGTGCCGCGACACAAAATAATATTTCTATTTATCAAAATTACAATGTGTCGAATATTCTCTGCGACTTTTTAAAATTAATTTAAATTCTCTAAATATTGTTGATATATTTAATAAAATTATAACTTAATAGCCAATTCTTTCGATATATTTTTTTAAACTAATTTAACTGTTTTTTTTTAGGTATCTTTTTTGAATGTAAAATTTAATTATCGGTACAAGACAATTGCAATATATTTCCACAAATTTTATTTATCTTACTATATATATTATATATTCAATTTAAATTTCATTTTCATATGCTATTCAATTTGCATTCAATTTATAATTTGTATGTTATCCGTTCTGCTATCGAACCGTATCCATTCTTACTGTGGATTTCCCTGCGCCACATTATTTTCTCCTTCAACCCATGGCAATGGGAGGGTTCGTGATTCCTTTTTCTCGTGTCTTTCTTCGTGGAGCAACCACCTGTAACTCCTTCGAGATAGGCATTTCAAGCTGTACCTCTGTCTTCGTCTAACCAAACTCAATTCAATCGTCGCACTATCTTTCACGTCCTCTCATCATATTCTTCACATAGATCGATAATCTTATATATCAAAAGATAATTTAATTATTCTCATAGATTTAAATTACCCAATAATTATTTAAGTTAGCAATAAAAATGATATAGATATAAGAAGAAATTGCTCTCTCTCTTTCTCTTTCTCTCTCTATTTCTACAATTATATTATTGCATTTTACTATCTGTCAAAATTTATATCTTATCTAGCTTTTCCAAACTTTTCAATTTCAAAAATTAAACGCAGTGATCTTTTCCAATAAATTATTTAATTAACAATATATAATTTCAATGAATTATGGACTCAATTGATTTCTGTGTATATTGATAAACAGATGTAAAAAAAGGATTATCTTCTTTCTACACTCTTAAAATTTACGAGAACGGATAGCTAATTGAAAATTTATACTACAGATACTTTCATTCAAGGATATAAATCTTTCTGTTTTATAATATTAAAATAATGTAGGAAGCACGTGAGAAAAACACCAGCTGTCGAGGGAACTAATTCAACAAAAGATAAATGTATTCTGTGTTACTTGCCATTCGTAAAATAGAAACTGACGTTTTTATCGACATCTGAGAAAATAGAAAACGCGGTAATTTAATGGAACAATGATGTGAAACACATACGCAGCGATGATGCAATTGATATATATTGTTCATTTATATAAATATCATCCTTAAAAACCAAAAAATATTCAATGAAATTTACTCAACGAGTAATAATACGATATAAAACACAGTCATTAATAACAAATTTTTGCATACTCTATTTTTTGTGTATAATGTTATTTAAAATATTCATTACTTTATATTCATAAAATATAATTATCATATTTTATGAATATAAAGTAATGAATATTTTTTCCAAAAAATTTCGACTTGCAATTTAAACACGATTACAGCCATTATTTCGTCGATATATTTGTGAGACAATAAGTGCAAATAAAGTTATCAAAATAAGAAATAAGAGAAGAAAATACAGATACATTATTTTTATTGCGAATAAAAATATCTCTTATATCTTATTTTTATATTAAGTTTATATTGCCATAAATATATCGGTGATGTTCACTGCAAAGAGACCTATCTAGGAAGAAGAAAATATGGTTAATCAAGATAGAAAATATCATTGGCTACAATATATCTTTCCATTTAGAAGGCGTCTTCCAAGATTTTCTTATTAAAAGCATCGAACGTTATTAATTCTATTTAAAATGGAATTTATTATAAAAAAATCAATCTTTTACATCAATTTCATAACTTTATTATCTTTTCCATGCTTTATTATCGCATATAAAAACTCTTTCTCTTTTTAAATAGCTTAAATTAAAAATATTTTTGTGCCACGGTCTTCCACAATTACAAGGAGGAAATTAAAGTTATTTCTTTAACTAATGTATATAATAGATTTTATGTCTTCTGTGTCACATTTTTAAGCAGTTATACTTTTGAAGAAGTTAAATACACCGCAATTGCATGCAAATGTAAGTGAGTCTTTAGATATTCATGCAGAGACTTTGATATTCCTATCTATATATTTTTATTTCGTATGCGTTATATTTTCGAGTTTATATTAAAGCTTAAAGCTTGGTGTTATATATCTTTGATCATTTAACTAATTTAAATACATGAGATAACGTGCCAGTGGTGGAAAATTTTCATGTGACAATAAAAAGCACAAGATAACATTACTAAAATATTATACATTTTGTTTCATTATTTCGCCTTGCTTGAATAAAAAGTATTTAACAAAATGAAAAAAGTATAGTGTCTTCCTTTTCAGAGCACGTATATTTTAAAATATAATTCTTCTCATTCTACATATTTCTACCAATTTTTCGATTTGTCTTACATTGCTTGAAACTGTTAACTTTTCTTCAATCATGTATTTAAATCAATATTTTACACAAAAATCAAATTTTTTTAAATACCATATTTCACAGTACTATGTATATTTAATTTAACATTTCAATATTAAATTAATATAAAGAAGAAAAAGAAAAGAAAAAAAGAGAGAGAGTATATAATATTGTTCTTAGTCAAAATATAAGCCGTAAGATATCAATATGTTTTATTGCAAGTTTGACCGGAAAACATGTACATCGATAAAAGGGGTGACAAAATGGTTCTCGATCGTCTCTGATAAGGAATCTAATCAATCGATAAGCTGGTTTCTGTAATAAAAGTTGAATACCAACGAAATATGGGGGCGGCCTTGTCATCTGACAATTTTCTACATTCTTTCGTGTACCTTATGTGCTTCTTATCTTGCTCCCCACACTTCTCGTTTTTTGTTTCATATATCTCTCGTTCGCGATCAACATTATATATACTCTCTCTGCTTTCTTTTGACTTTATCCGGTCCTTCTGTGTCAACCTCGGCCATCAGTACCTCAACTCCTTGTCTTTGTACGGTCTCTACTTTTTTGTCTACTTTACCCCTTTCCACTTGTTCCCTCTCTCCTTCCTATGCTGTCTTTTTCTTCCCTTGCACTCCGACATATATATCTCACGCTCTATCTCCCTCTTTTTCCCTCTCCCACCCTTTATCTCCCCAAGAGCGTATCTGATACCCTGCTAGAGAGAAATTCAGTCGTTGACGCGCCGTGAAACCAGCAACAACATCACACGTGAGTTTATTAGCGATTACAAAAACGAATATAATATCGAAAAATTTGATTGATTTTGACGGTTACGTTTCTTATATGTGACTCTTAATGCGTTCACCACAGTTAACGAACGAACAATCGCTTCGATCGCGTTCAGCACGAACCAACGTTATATCAGAGACAGTGAATACTCGGTATCGACATTTCGTAAATAGTGTTGAATCTTGCAAAAGATAAATAATCGGATTACGTTACAATCCGATTGCGTTACCAGTTGGGCGGACCGTATTGCCGGTATATCTACTGAACGGGCGGACTTTATTGGCCGCCTCTACTGAAAGTCCGTCTGACTACGACAGGATCTTCCACTTATCGTCTTCGACGAATTTGCCTACGAATTATCTCTTGCTACTGGCTTTCACATTCATACAAAAGTAAGGAAATATTATTATGATAATGTTATTAAATTTCCGTATTTATATATATATATATTATTTTAATAAAACATTTTTAATTTTATAACATTTTCTCTTTAATTTGTAGTTAAATTTTATTTTCTCCTACTTAATAACAAAATGTAATCTTTTTTACAACTATATATAATGTAATAAAAATACTAAATAACTTTACATAGTAGATTACAAAAAATATATTTTTTATTTAATTTGATATGATTAGTAGTAGAGTTTTTTTTAATTATACTTATATATATTTTATAAATTTAATCACTTTATCATTTTATAAAGAAAGAAATATATAAATATCATAATTTCTCATTTTTTTAAACAAGACAATACTCATACAAGCTGATAATGTAGTTAAATCGGTGTAATCGATCGTTGTCAATTTATTCAAAGGTCAGACAACTAGAAGATATAAAATTTCGATAACACGATCCTATCGTGAAAATTTTTGCGACTATATATAGATAACGTTATCCGTTTATCAAATATTCAGTGTAAACGATCATTTACTAGAGATGTGAAATCAAGAGGATCATATTTACAACTATAAGAAAAATTGTTTTTTTGGAACTGTGATCTGGTCCATATGTCTGACTTGTTCAAATGCATTTATATAATATTAATATTACATTTTATAGAAAATATATGTATTAATTTATATTTCTGAAATACTTTCATAAAATAGTGGGGTTAAACATATAATTATTTTAATATTATTAGAAATAATCAATATTCTTTAAAAAATCGCAATAATATTATTTTATTTTTTATACTTTATAATCAAATATAAAATTTTTTTTGCGAGAAATTTAGTGCATTAATCAAAATGCACTCAATGATATCATAATGCATTTTTATAAAATTTACATTTAATTCTCCCCTAAAAATTATATTTCTGTTGAACAATTCATTATTAACAACGATGAAATGATAAATTAGCATCATGACAATATTATCATCGTAAAAAGATTATAACCCTGTATTTCGCATAAAAAAATTTATATGAAAAGTATTCCTATTAAAAGTATTCCTATTAAAAGTATTCTATTTGCCAGATTTTGCAAGAGAGTCATAAACAGAAAACATCAGAATTTGTTACAATGATATATTGCGAAGTGACTGTCAGCTACACTCGTTTATCCTTTTCACTAGACAGAAGAATAAAAAGATCATCTTTTTCCCAAGACATCGTATTATATTTTCAATTTCTGTATAATTTGTAAATAATATGTGGTTTGTCACAAAATCGCAAATTGGACAATTTATAAAATTAATTGTACGAATGCAAAAAGATCTGAAAAATCGAAAAGTTTCAATCGTGTATAAAAAATAACATTTTTTATGTTTAAAGAGACAAAAATTATAAACTAAATTTTAAAAAACTTGTAATATTTTATGCAGAGAATTTTTTTATAAGTCTGTGAGAACACGAGATTCAAAGAGATAGATAAACGAATTGCATTATCCGATGCAAAACACTAAGTCAAGAATAAATTGAAAAGAATTAATTTTCTTCTTATCTCCATTGACGGTGACATTGCCGGGATTAAACAGAATAAAAAATGAACATTTGCAAGAAGAAAGGTAGAGAGAAAACTAACCGTGTATGCCAATGTAAATTTATAATTTTCCAAGAAATGTAAGATAAAGAAATGTAAATTCATTGTACATTATATATATATATATATATATAAATTCTTGTACAATATTTTTTGCAAATATAGCTGACGTTATGGTTAATGATTATTTGCAGATTAAACATGCATCCGACAATACAGTCGAATATACTCGAACTATTTTTCTTTGTTATTGTTCCTTCATCTCATTGTTGGAGTTTTTAGCCTGGGAATATCCGGAGATGCATTGTCATACACCGAATACACGCATTATATACAGCATTGCGGCATGATGGCATTGTATAACATGAAACATGCGCATACAATACGTGCGTCTCACATCGTGCGATAAAATCCTATTTATGAGATTATGACTTCAAGACACGTACCCTTGTTATTTTCTGTCCCGCTAATAATTTTTTATTAAATTTCTTTCTAAGAAGAATAATATACATATATTACAACTTGCATATTTTCGGTAAAAGAAATATTTAAGGAAGAACTGAGGATGGATCAGATACGTTAAAAATAAATAAATCTCGAGATTCACGAATTTGACATTGCGCACACAAAGTACTTTTAGCCTTTTAAAATATAAAATTAATAATTAATTTATGAATGCAAGTAAAAATTGATCCTATAAAATATAATTTAATCTCAAAATCGTAAATATTATCTTATAATCGTAAATATTATCTTGAATTAACGTTTTTATAATGACTGTACCACGATTTTAACTATACGACATAATAATTCATGAAAATGAAAATGTTGGGTCTACAAGACAAATTTTTACTTTAATTCACGAATTAATTATTAACTTTATATTTGAAAAGACTAATAGTACTTTAGCAAAATCGAATTTATGAATTTCGGAATGTAATATTAGATTTATTTACTTTTGACATAGTTAATCTGCCCAATTCCTCTTTAAACGTAATATATTTACAAATTGATCTGAACGCTGAGTTAAAATAATTGATTCTTTGCGACCTTTAACGAAGCTCCATCTCTCTGGGTCTCTCAGTTATTAAGTATAATCATCATGTTAATCTGCTTGAGAACCCTAATAACATGATTTAATCCAAAAGGCTGGAATAGGATCCGACGACGAATAATTATATTAATAGGATTAATTACCGTCTGCAAATTTTCCCGTAATTATAATAAATAACTTGACTTTTCACTCTACCTGTTAAAATTCGTAAAAATTTTCACGTTGTAATATAATTGGAAAAATTTTCCTTTTAACAGAATATGAAATATTCAAAAGCGTAAAATAAATATAAAAATCGTAAAATTTAAACGAAATTTAAATATCGCCGATGTGTAAAAAAAGAAATGTAAGATTTTATATTAACTAATTTCTTTTTTGAATCAATTGGATGTAATTGAGCGCATTTATATATTCTTTACATTATGATATCGTGCATTTTGATATTCCTATGTATTATGATATTTTCTTTTCTCTTTCGACGTAGTAGATGACGACGATCGATAATCGATAACTAGATTAATAGCCGTCCAATACTTTGACATATTATACCGTTGTTACCTCTAATGTTAAGCGATTAATATAAAATATTAATATGACATATTAATCGCTTTCGTAATTCCATAGCAATTTGTCTTTCGGCATTAATAATTAATTAGCACCAAGACTTCATTACAGCTTTTTTTAATCTCAAGCTTTTTGCTCACTCCATTCTCAACCGTTTCATAAGAATGTTTTATTGTGTCGTTTGTGTATTTAATAATTCTTTATAATTTTTGTTTTTATATTTTCATGATTATGATAATTACATTTTTCTATAATTAAAATTCAGATATTTGTAACGTGTTTAGCCAAACAACTTTGAAATCTCAATTGATGGGAGAACTCCTCATTTTATTTGCATGTAAAAAAGGTTTGTATCTTTACGTTCCCCTTGTTAATTGCTTTCTCGCGTAAACCAATTTTTGGTTGGCAGCCGTATAGTTCTCTCACGAGAGTAATTTAGATTGCAAAAAGAAACTGTTTTAGAATTTAAATTTCCAGAGTCGGCCACGCTGCATTCTATTTTCACTCTTGTCACCGAATAATCCGAGACAATCGCAATTTGCGCTTGCCGGCACCAGGCAACCGGTACTCGCTATATAGTTGTTTACTCAGAAGCTCAGAAGCTCATTATTATTCAAGCAGTCCACGATGTGCTAGTCACGCCTACACGCCCGTTGCCAAGGCTGTACAAAATCTGTGTAAACCCGAGAAGAGATATGCCGCAGTGAGAATATCGAGAAAATATTTCGATGAAAGAATTATTATTTAAAGTTACTGATATTTTATTCATGGAATCGGTTTCTCTCTCGAATTATTTAACGACGAAAAATTTTTTTTACTAACTCGCAAACTTACGTATTCATAATAGATCTAGAACTGCATTTTCTCTGTTGAGAAATTTGTAACTTGCTAAAAGTCTGTGTGTTAAATTACATTGTTAAGCAAATTATACTACGAGAGAAAATTGTTCCTTCCCTCCATCTTTCTCTCAATATACCTATGTCGCTCTCGTACATAATATATACAAAGCAGCGTAATTTGTTCAAAGAAATTCCAAGAACAGCAATCATACGTTACTCTGCAAGTTTCGCAATATAATATAAAATTTATAACAAAAAAATTTTATAAAATACTCATATATATTATATATAGATTGCGCGTATATTTTCTATTTATTCTGTATTATTATGAAGCGAAATGATCCATTGCAAATTCTGAGACAATCTTCGATCGCGTTATTAAGTGGATTTTGCGAGCAACGTGCATTCGATCGGTATAGCTCATCCAATTACGTTCTCACGCTTCTACGATTACAAACTCTGCTAATAACTTTGCGTGATATGCCAATCTCCAGGTAAAATACATAATTGAATCCGTAATTACATCCATAAGGTACACATCGCAACAATGAGACTCCGTGAGACGGCTTGTACAGATATTATGTACACACTAATGTTTATGTCCCCCCCGTGTAACACAATCTAGTAATAAATACACTTGCAATACCTTGAAGCAAACTTAAATATCAATCGTTTGCACGTTTGCTCGTCACAAATATTCTGTCACGGAAAATTCCCCTCAGGAACATCTGTCCTATGGGAAACTATTATATTTTCAAAGGCAACTCAAAAATTAGGAATATCCATCGCGCAAACTTAATATTAAATGGAATAAGTTATATTAAATTTAAATGGAATAATGTATATTATAATCATACTATATTCAAAATATAGTACAATGACAATTGACTTGAGACAGTTCAACCTCGCAAGTTTCTTCGGAAACAACATCGGAAGAAATATTAAACTTATGTAATTTTTATTTGATATATCTTACGTCGCGATAATAGCATAACTTTGAAATTCTTGCATCTGACGAATATTTTATCGACATCATGGCTTGATATATATCTTTGTTAAAGTAATAATTTAATAAAAATTTTATGGAAAAAATTATACGCGTGAAATCTATACGATATAATTTAAATAAATATTAAACAACATCGCGCGCATACATATAAATTTAACTTTTAATCTCTTGTTGAATGCTTTATTAAATTAATATCATGTCATATTAAAGAACGTTAAAGAAACTATTTTTGTATTTTTTGTAAAAGTAGGTAAAACTGGTTCACGCAATTTATTACTACGGAATTACTGAAGCATGAAACTTCGGTAAACATAAAGGAACCGGGAATTACAAGCGAGTGGATAGACGGGGTTGAAGTGCACAGAAAGATTAATTATTCACGCGCATTAATTGAATGAATCGCGCGAAATCTTTAATGATGACAAAGAACATAACATTGCAATCGTATCTGGTCGTCTCGGTTAAGATAGTCTCGTATCCGAGAATATAAATTTCTGCGATCGTGACCCTTGTGTTGAGTCCGATTCACTTGCTACGATCTTTCCCGTTTCCGCCCTTTCGATTTAGAATTAAACCAACAACGAACTCGCTGATTATTGACATCGATTTCACTCGCAGCTCACGATTATCGATAATTTCTCAAAAACCGCGAGTTCAATTTAGTCTGTGTTCGCCGCACGATTTACTCCAATAAATATTACCTGTCTTCATCTACGTCGGTTTTTTAATGTACTCTCAATTGTGATGATATTGGTATAATATTGAAAATAAATTAGTTAATTTTATATAATATTTCAGAATATAACAGGTTTTGTATATCAGATTATACTTTTTTTTTACGATACATATTACAATACAAAATCAAAATTCCATATTGCATTCACATACGTTCGTTTCCCAGAAACAACACAGGAATTCAAGAAAAATCTAAAAAGGCTTCTAAGACCTATATTTATTCTAAATCTGTTTTTATATTTAAGATTATTTTAAGTGTGATCTTGGATGGTCTTAAGATTCCATTCATCCAATGAAATGACCATGTAACGTCTTAAGACTGTACTTGAGATAATCTTAAATATAAGAACGTATTATCAATACAGTCCTAAAAGATTTTAAAGGATAAGGAGTCATCCTTTAAACATCTGCGCCGCATCATTTATACGCGCGTTAACTCCTGATTCAAGTTTCCGAATGACATAACGCAAAACGTTCAATGATTTCTTTTACAGATCAAGCAACGAGTGTTGAAGTGAGGATACGAGACGCCAAAGGAATAATGGTTTCGTCCGCGATATTCGGTGCGGCCGCGGGCACAGGATTAGCCCTAGTGGTGGCAATGACAATTGTAGTTTATCGTTATTACACCATGAAGCGGAAAGGAAAATGGAATTGGAGCAATCTGGATCGCTGGCCGGATCCGCCAGGCATCAGAAATAGCAACGACGAGCATCAGCCTTATCATCACCATCACTCTCACGCAGCAACGGCATCGCACGTGCTCGACTGCTGGCGGAAGCCGCAAAAGAGTTACTACGCTGTTCAGACCGTGGTTAGTATCTAGTAATCGATTCGACATTAATTAGTCACATGGCTGGTCATCCATAATAGTCTCTCTCTCCTTTCATCTATTTAAAATCCTTTTAGTGGAAAACTCATCTAAATTTCGCAAGACGCGTTTGTCGTATTTTATTACGAGCAGAGCGACTGTAAACAAACTTTTAAGAATAGAAAAAAAAGATAATAGAAAATTACGCGAAATTCTTCTAATAAAAACCTCGCTTTGAGTACCAATGGATTAATTATTTGCATTCAATTACGCAACATTTTTCCTTCTTAAAGATCAATAACTTCTTGATATTATTAGTCTTTGATTCCCTACCCTTTTCTTCGTTTTCCTTAATTACATATCTTTAGTCTGCAGATTTTTAATAAATTAATGTATATATTACTTTGTAACTTTAAAAGATTCTTTGATCAGTTAAAAAATGTATTTTTTAAAACATAAATACTGTCTTGCAAGAAATGTTGCTCTCATGTTTGCCAGTAACTCGTCGTCGGTATTTATGAACGTCGCCGGTAGAATATGAACAAGTCGGTAAAGCATTTCTGTTAGCCGAAAGCCGGTAAGATATTACAAAATTCTACTATGCTTGATTCTGTGCAGAATTTTGCTATGCTATCCATGATCGCGACAAGATAAATTTTATTCACTGCCTTATGTCGGCAAAATAATTATTTCACGTATCCAAGGAACACTGTGACGGTCGATATCTCCGATATAATTGTCGAAAGATCGTACGTCGTTAAAGTATATCGATAAAAGATCTAATATTCACGCTAATAATTAATATTTCTGTTTATTGGATAACAATAGCATAGATTATTTTGTTAATACTCATAAATTCTCTTTGACAAATTAAGTACAAAATAGTAATCAATGTCCCATAATGATGAAATAATTTCTGTACTTTAATTAAATTATATCGAGGCAAGTATATGCGTCTGTTTTGTTTTTAAATTATAAAAATATAGCATTACACACATTTTTTCAAAATAAAAATGTTAAACGTTTAATAACTTTAACGATTCTCGGACATTGATAAAAGTGTAATGTATAGAAAAATCAATTACATATCCTCCATCGCTTATTAATCCAACGAACTTTGGTATATTTATTGCAGGAAGTGTTTAATATATTCCCAATACATGAAGTTTTATTTTAAACTCCTTGTACACTTGTGTTTGTTGAGTATATGTCGCATGTGAGGAGATAATCTTCTTATATACGGAAATGGATACGTCGTAAACAGATCAATCCAACAGTCGAGTTTGATTGATATGACGTATATTTCTCTTTTTACATTTTTTTGAAAAAAAAAAAAATTCTTTTTTTTCTTTATACGATCTATTGTTCAAAGTTCAAGCTGCAGGAACAAACGCTCGGACGTGATTGCAAACAAATGTAATTATACATTGTTTATATATATTTACGCTGGAGTTTACGAAGCGAAATATCATTTTTACCGTAAACAAGAACGATGTTATAAACAGGGAAATAAAAATGGGATTAATGAGTTGGTTATTTTATCGTTTATCATGTTTCCGCGCACATGTATAACCGTGAAGAGCCTTTTGCTCGAAACCGGAACATTGAATCTAGAATTTCGATCGATACAGCGTCTATAAGCGCGACAGATATCGCGTTTTGCGAGAGATACGCACTTGCAATGTGATAGTACGTCACGATGACGAATGGATTTTGCTGTTAGAGGATATTATATATCAAGCAAATTTTCTTATATCATTATTCGTTATTATTTATGTAACTTATGTAATCAACTTGGCAAATATATTTAGCAGAGACAGGAAGCGCAGAAATATAAAAAAGATAAATTCGATCACTTTCAACGCTAACGTTTTTAATTATATATTGCTTATGTATCATTCGTCTGACGTCAGAATTACGGCAGAATCTCGAAGAATAAATTATAAATAGCAACATATTGGTATAACAAGAGAGTGAGATATCCAAGATCAAGATGTCAATATATATATATATATATATATATATATATATATATATATATATATATATATATATATATATATATATATATATATATATATATATATATATATATATATATATATATATATATATATATATATATATATATATATATATATATATATATATATATATATATATATATATATATATATATATATATATATATATATTGACATCTTGATCTTGGATATCTCACTCTCTTGTTATACCAATATGTTGCTATTTATAATTTATTCTTCGAGATTCTGCCGTAATTCTGACGTCAGACGAATGATACATAAGCAATATATAATTAAAAACGTTAGCGTTGAAAGTGATCGAATTTATCTTTTTTATATTTCTGCGCTTCCTGTCTCTGCTAAATATATTTGCCAAGTTGATTACATAAGTTACATAAATAATAACGAATAATGATATAAGAAAATTTGCTTGATTCTTAGTAAATGCAAATTTAATATACAATTAAAAGATTTCTTGTATTTTTTTCGTATAACAATATATGTAATCTCCCATATATTTTGAAAATTTAAAGAATATTAAGTTTAAAGTTATGGAAAAATTAAACTAGATTAATTTCCTTGAATTCCTAAAAAAGGTCAGTGAGACATTGTCGTACTAAATCCTGTCGATTCATTTTTCTTATGCATAAAACGTTCGATTTTCTAACTTTTCGTTCAAGTCAATTTGCAAAATTGTGAACTCCCATTTTGTGCAAAGTGCATTGAAAGCATACAGTAATTAGGTTAATGTACCGTATAGTCCAACGTTATCCGGAAGATGCGAGATTGCTTAGCTCCTCCGAGACTCTCTCTCTCTCTCTTTCTCTTAGAGAATATTCTTAAATTTAAATATTATCATTATTAAATAATCTCATTTTCTTAAAAAAGCATTTGAATAAAAATTATTGTATATCATGCAGTTATAATATAACAATATTTTATTAAGAAACGAATTTTTATAAAAGACATCAGAAGCGCTTTGTAATAAATGTCGAAATATTCTTCCATTCACGCGATGTTATTTAAATCAACAAAACAGTAATATAAATTCATCGTTCAAATGTCATTACCTTCACGAGACAAATAATTCAAGAAAAACAGCTCGTCTACAATCGCAATAACGTAGTTTGCGTGCTTGCTTACTTATACCCATCATCGTGATCGCAGAGAGGTTGAAAAATATATAGATGAAGAGAGACAGAGAAAGCAAAAGAGAAAATGAGAGGGCAAAGCATGCACACCTTTAAAGTTTTATTGTATCGATTTATAATGTAGACTGCCCTCGTATAACGGAGAATTCCTATACTATACAGACAGAAGGATTCTACAGTTCAAGAGCGGATGTGCGATCTATATAACGTGTGTGAAAAGTTTCGGAAATCTCCTTAAATCAAAAAGCGTCGCTTATCTTAATCCTCCTCCGGATAAGTTCAATGCAATTCTGTCCTGATTAATAATGTCTAGACGCGAACTGTTACGGAATTACGAGTTCAATGCGATCCAATTAATGTCTAGACACGAATAGAGTTGTGATAATTAATATTAAAGCGCCTTAGAAAATTGAACCATGATAGCCTTTCGCTAATTCAGTTAAATTTCAGCGAAACTTGATTAGATATTTAATAACAGAAACATTTAATCGTTGAAAGCGAGGAAGTCTAAATTCCTAAAACGAGAATCCGAAATTAGTACAACTTCTGAGAACCCTATGTTAAATTTTCCTTCATTCGTCATTAAACGTTTACGCTAAATGTTAATCTCCTTGCAAAACCTTGGGAACAAAGTACCATGTTGCGTGTCTCGCTATTTCTTAGAAACGATATAAAATAGAAAGGATTTTAAGTATATAGCGCAATTATATACAATTGGAACAATAAGATCTTATCTATCGTATGCTTCAGGGAATACAATCGTAGAATCAAATCTCTTTTTTCAAATTACGCACATGACTCGCATATCGCGCGTCATCTCCGCATTCTGACAAATAATTGATTTTATATTCAACGCTCTTAATTACGTAATTTACATTGATACATCGTAAATAATAAATTTCACTTTGAGATGAAAGTAGAACTTTCTCCCCTTCCCCACCCCCATTCCGAAATCGCTCGTGTCCCTAAAGTGTAACCTGTTGCGGCGCACGCACCGTTTTCTATCTCTCTTTCTCCCTCGTGGCCGATATCCATCTTCTCTTCCGCTATCCACCAGTCAAGGGTCTCTCTTTCTCTCTCTATTTCCCCTCGGTGGCGGAACCGACCGCCCACCACCTCCAGCCGTCAGCTACCCTCGGCGGCGAATCGCCGTTTTCTGGTGGTGCACGACGAGCCCTGGCTTTGCGTATACGAAGTCAGTCGGGCTGGCCCAGTATCACGGTACGGTGATACCCGGTGATACGCGTCCGGTGATCCGCGTCGCCCGTAATCGACGTCACCGCGAACGAGACCACGAAAGTTGACGACACTTTCGTATATCGGTGAGTGCGAGTAAGTGAGGGCAAAATTTATTTCTGCGGCCACCCGTGAGATCAAACGAGCACGTTGAATCGGTAGTATATCGAACGAGGGTGCAATTAATTATTATCGTGTAATAAGAATTCTTCCTCCCCCGCTATTCCCCGCTCCCAAAACTGAACGGCTCTCTCGATGTTATCACTCGGACGACCGATGACGAATCGGGTCAGCATGATGTTTAAGTAGTCGCAACTCGTGACGATTCAGACACTCGTCTCCTCTTCGACGAAGAGAGAGAAAGAGAGAGAGAGAGAGAGAAGCGAGAGACTAGGTAGCGTTGACGTAAAATTAATCGGATCGGACTACAGTTAGAGTAATGAGCCGCGGTCGCGCATAACCGCTGAACCATAATGAAATCAGAAACCCCGCTGTGTTTGAGCTTCATGCATGATTAACGGAGGGCGGCGACTGCGAGAAGTCAAGCTACGAAATTTCATTGTGTGGAATGGGCAATTTGTAGTTTTTACAGAGAAAGTAGGGCAAAGCGCGCAGTGTCACAATCGCGAGGAGAGGATCGCTATAGTCCTTGAGGGACCGAGGCAGATAACGGTAACGTAATTTTGACGAGAATTTAGGTAGACACGTCAATCACAAAATAAATATCGATTTTAGCTCGAATACTCGGATCGGCACTGCCTATTCCTTCTCTTCCTTCGCGGTGTTTATTGAAACGCGATCCAGCGTGTTTTCTTATCACCGACGAATGTCTTATAATAATTTTCGTGACATGCATATCATTATAAAAAATCAAGATAACGCGAAATAATTCCAATGACAATTAATTCATAATGGCGTTTGAAAAAAGAGAAAAAAAAATATAAGAAGGTCCAAGTGTATTTATTGTGTTAGGTGTCAGCGGGTCTCATTGTCAGATATGACGTGGCGCTTTTTACATACAAAAATTTGAGACGTGCCCGCTATTCATCAAGTCCCCCATCGTCAAATTATATATTCTCTCACATTATATTTAAACTATCTATATCGTATATATAAAAATATAAGTTAAAGAATTGATATTCGTTCCTTCAAAATCTAGCAGTTATATTCCAGCAATAATAATCAAATTAATTTTTTTTTTTTTAATAATCGCAACAACGATAATATTTGTTAATATATGTTGAACAATTGAAATAATTGTAGAAAATTGAATTTCAACGAGTTTCCGCGCTCCGTACCATTGGTCTCATTTAACTTTTTAATCAATTTAAATATTTATCTAGTTTCAATACAATACAAATCGTTCGATTTTATATTGCATGGAGTTTTAATGTACCAAGCATGCACGCATTGTGCATTACATTGTTTGTATTTTCGAATTTATTAACTAAATGACTCGTTATGTGTAAATAGCAAGAGAATTTTTTTTTTTTTTTTAGTATAAATTCCTCCATTACTCGGATTTTAAAAGAAGAATACGAATTACATACAACGGAAATATATCTCGATTAGCATACAGATATGTGTTATCAGGAATATATCCGAATCGCAGGTTAAGTAGAACGGTATGAGATAACTAATCGACCGCGGACCGATTTCGTGGTACGATTGATTGATTTAAAGCGAAAGCGAATTACGCCCTAGGCAAACGCGCGTTTACTTCAAACGGTACGTAATTAATAACGCAGGTTTTATTGACAGTTATATTCATGTAATAATAAAACGAACTATCTCCCCGTGGTTATATCGCGGCAATACCGTCCATTGCGCACGAAACGAGAATATTTAAATACTAATACAATTAAAATTACATTAAACTCGAAGATAATAATTATTAATTCAGATATTTAATTCTTCCCTCTACACATTCAACCTTACACATTCTTCTTTACTTTCGTCAAATTGTCTATCCGAAATTACACGGCAATTTGTAAACTATTATAAATATTTACATTATAATAAAATATTATCATATTAAATAAATAGTGTAATTATATTATTATAATTACATTATTATACAGGGTGTCCCGAAATTAAATGTCAAAACTTCGGCAGCCTGTAGAGGATCAATAAACTAAGAAAAAAAGTCCTTCAGATATTTACTCGTTTTAACAACACTAAAATTATTAGGTTTATCGAAAAGTACCATGAAATGAAAATTGTAGAAACAATGGAATTAAAAAAAGAGAGTGAGTTAAAATATTTCTAGGTAAAATTAGATTAAAGACAAAATTTCACGTTGTCGCATATTTATTTATAATTCTCTAATTTTACCTCAGGAGTATTTTAATTCCCTCTCTTTTCTTAATTTCATACTTTATAACTTTTATTTCATGATACTTTTCGATAAACCTAATAATTTTAATGTTGCTTTAAATTTTTTGGTGAAAATTTTTTGTTTCATTTTTTGCGATTTTCTTCAAAACGAAGCAAAAACGAACAAATTTCTAAAGGACTTTTTTTCTTAGTTTATCAATTCTACACACGTTCCCGAAGTTTTGACATTTAATTTCGGGACTCTGTATATAATAAAAGCCTCTTACTACAGTTTTTGAAAGTTAGAAATCTTTATATTATATTATAATAATAAATTCTCGCTAAAGTTTACCGCTATTAATTATTAAACGCGACTTATGCGGAATTGTTATTCCGCCACGTCGAGTTTGGAACTGTTTCTCAATCACGTTCAAGAAAGGAACTGCGCTACTTTTCAACTACATGAACGTAAACTTTTACATTCGCTCGAGAGTCGCGCAATTGATTGTCGAAGTAATCACTACAAGAACGCAAGTGGTTCGCGTCGGACGTCCGAGCAACGTGTTCAGGGAGCAAAAGTTTTCTGCTTACTTATAGATGCAGAAGTGGCAAAAAGCGATTGCGATTTCTTTCCGCTAATTCTCCACCATCCCGACCAAGATCCCCGCGAAAGCGCAAATACGGTGACAAACTGTGAAAAAAAATCGCACGCGGACCCTCGTCGCGGTTTAACTCGAACTCGGGGCGGTTGTTTTGTACGCGTTCGTCAAAGTGCCGGACAAATTGTCGGAGGTCCTGGGCGATGTTCTGGAGCTATGCGGCGGCGGAAGCGGAAGCGGAGGCGCTGCGACATCCGGGGACAGAGGCATGTCTAGCAACACGTCGAGCGCGGCCACTAAAATCGGCGCAGTGACAGGAGTGGCGATAATCAGGGGTAGATGGGCCCAAAGGGGCGCGAGGCCGCACCTATCTTCCGTCGCTAATACCGATAGTGCCGACAGTACGACTTCGACCAGTTCGGAGGTACGGTGATTAGATTCCAGATAACCGTGTGAGCGAAATGTCAAATACGTAACATAATGACATAATGTAATTTAAAATACAAAATACTATTTTGTATTCTGTAATTTTAATTATATTTTGTTCTAGGATAATTTTTTATGTATTTTATATTTTTCATTTCGTATGCGAAATATATTTTTATAATATTTTGTCCAATATATTTGTATCTGAAAGTGTAATCTTTGTTATTTTTAATTCAGAACATTTCGAGAGAATTACTTTGACCAATTTCAAACAATGCCAAAATCTAAAAAAGTCTAAAAGAATATCTGAACGATCAAGTTGTTTTTTATGGATTTTTTTTTTAGAGATTTGTCCAGAGAGCAAATTTTATGGAAAAGTATTATGGATTATTCGCTGAAAGATACTTTAGACGTGTATGCAAAAGTATTATGCAGTTTCATATCTCAGTGAACTGGATACACTTGTTGCGCGCATTCTAGCGTGGTCGTTTCTTTTTGTTACGCGTGCGACTTTTGGCATTTCCTTGCGTGTCGCGGCGAGTTACATCGACGCGCGCGATTAATCTCTTTGATGAATCTAATTACACGATTCCACTTCACCTTTCAATCAACGCTTCTCTGGTTAGCATGCCATTTCACGTTGACTTGTGCGAAAAAACACGAGTGCACGCAATTTTACCGATACTTTGAGAATATTTGAAATATTTTTAAGTCCTATGAACATGGGACTTTTTTAAAAATTATAAAATCAACTTATTCTCTGAAACAAGATCGGAGTTACGTAAGTTTGTTGGCCTTGCTCGCGCAAGTGAATCACTATGAGCGAATTAAGTTTTGGGGCTGGCTGTAAATATCTACACCGACTTTTCAGCACGTCGATTTACTTGCTAATAGGATATAGGATATTCTATCGGATAATTGCGCCATCGTGGCAATTAATTGAATGAAAATTAAATCAATCGCCGAGGCATCGCCCATCGTTACATATCATTACTCGATAAACAATAGAAACTAATCGTGTATTTGTCTAGAGTTGGCGATAAGAAGAGAGAGAGAGAGAGAGAAATCGTGACATAAAAAAGATCATTGAGAACATTATTAATTTAATGACGTACGGTCAACGAGTATTGTTTTCATTTGAAATTCAATGCACATTGGTACTTTTTATTAAATTACTTCAGATAATTTTCCTAGCATACTTGCACGAGAATCCAATTTCTTTCAAGATTTAATTTGATTTGATTTAATTGATGTCTAAACAACGAGTTAAAAATAATTTATTATCTACAAACTTTAAAAAAAAAAATAATAATAATAATTGATAAAACTAAATTATTTTATAATATAATTATGGAATTTTAATTATGGGATAGTGTATAGTTAAAAAAATGTACATAACGACGTTCGACTGATGACGATTATTCTTATCGTGCATTGAAACTATAGTGGAGAATGCATAGTTTATTATTTCCTTTATTATAGTTTGACAAATAATAAAAAAAACGACACAGATACAAAAAGGAGGCGCGCGTAGTTAATTAAAACTTAGCACTTTTGCAGCTGGAACGACGTTATGGACCACGTTCCGGATCAATGCCTCCCACATGACAAGAAATGAAGAGTGGTGAAATTGGTACTGGAACAGCTCTGACAGATACACGACCATCCGTGATCGAGATACCGTCATAGATTGACACGCGTTCGATCTGCTATACGCACGACAGATCACGCAACGCGTAAAATGCTGTGTCGCAAGATATAAGATATTCAATTAAGTCGAATCTTAGCTACGCAATTGCTTTCAGAATCGTGGACTATTTCTTAATCAATCAATAATCATATTATAGTGAGAAATTATATAAAAAGTATAATATAATAAAAAGATATATTATATAAATTTCTTAAAGCATATATACATATATGCTTTTTAAAAAATTTTAAATCTATTTTTTATAGTAAAAGTTTTTCATTAAGGAAGTATCGTGTCATTATTTTTGACAATTAAAACTTTATACTCGATCGAAAAATCTCGAGTTCAGTTTATGACATATATAATAACGTAAATTAATTTTTCTTTAATCTCGAAGAATATTCATACAATTTTCTAAAATACTAGTTTAAACCTAATTTAATCCATCTAATCATTTGTACTCGTAAATAACATATTTTACTACAGTTAAATAGATATTCTGTGTCAACATGTATAACGCAACGCATTGAGAGTTGGAAAATTGGAAAACTGTATGCCATAACATTATTCATTTTCTGAAGATATCATTTTTCTCACAGACTAGCTTCAATCATACAAATTCTCGTTAGTTACTTAGAGAAAAAAAAAAAAAAACGTGAAAGATTAAATTTCTCTACGATCGCAAAGTTGCAATTCTATCCTTGTTATCAGGTCTCAGATAACTTCATCTCGCAATCTTATGCATTTCGAGAAATTCCACAATGATCGCACGCGAACTTGATGCATGGAATACGAAATGGAAGAGAGACTCCATCCCTGTCTGTATAATTCGTAATTGCAGCAAAATCGGAACGAAAGTATCTTGATAGAACCAAGGCTTTCGATGCTTCAGCTAAACAACGAATACATTCCTCGACGTAATTATGCAAATTACGCATTATACTTCGCAAATTAAGATACAGCTAATGTTTTGCATAAACACGGAAGAGAATGAGAGGAAATAATCTGACACATGCATGTCAAGCTCTTCCTATTCATCGACATAATACTATTTTCCCTGATGTGCTGTTCTTCTAAAAGGATTACGTAAAGCTTCATAAGAAGGTTTATATGCCCTCGTGTTCCCGCATTAAAATTATTTCCTCTAATAAATCAGCGATTTTGCTGTTTCCATGAAATTCTTATTGTCCGATAGAAGATTAACATTTATATAACGCTTTTAATATTGCTCCCCATTTCAATCCAAACGTAATTATAGGAATTTTAAGTCCGTTTTTATCCGTTATTCGTTCATGCACATTGCACATCTTTTATCCTTATCAATCTAAATTTAAAAATGCAAAATATCGTTAAATCCTCTTTCACAGAATTTCTTGTCTAACATTACCTTTTATACATGTGTACCATATATTTTGTCGTCTTTTCATCAATATTCGTTTTCTGCACATGTACACATGTTTTTTCGACTATTTGACTCTTTTTCACGCGTAACAAATAAATACAATTTTTTCATTTGCCCAGCAATTTAATAAATATAACGCTTTGCAATTTCAGCGAAAAACCTTAAAAATGCGAAAACTGATGTTATTTTTTTTTATATTGTAGTGTGTGCGTATCGTCATGATCAAAATATGATAAAATAGTTTTTCTTTTCGATATTCAATTCGGATATAAAAACTGATAGGATTTTATTTTATTATTTATAAAAGCTGACTTACTTTTACACTCAGTCAATATTTAAATAAAATATCTCATAAATTAGTCTATTACTAAAAAAAACTACAAATTTCGCGAAAATTGTACATTTTTTAACTTTTGTATTATATCCTTAGATATTAAATAGCTGATAAATTTTATTTAATTATTCGTGATTAATTCAAAATCTATGCATAAGAGAAAGAGAGAGAGAGAGAAGAGATCTACATATATTTAAACAATCTTTTTGTATTCTTATAAAATCATTCCGCGGATATAGTCGTTCGTTTTGTTCGCGCATTTTTAATGTCCAGGTCACTCTTTACTAAGAGGGTGACTATACTAAAATCTGCCGGCAATATTTGTTATGCATGGTCGATAATGGTTTATGTTTCTAACGATAAGCGAATACATTTTGCTTGCTGTCCCAAGAGTTCCTGTCCCTTCGCTCCAATATTCCATTCGTGACTTATACGGAACGGCACTTCGAACGTGAAAAGAGCTACAAAAAAACTCTCGGTTCCCGAGTCGACGTTGTGTCGGAATTTGCATGACAAAGCAAGTTAATTTTTTCGCCGCGATGCAATATTAAAGTCTAGCGGACACCGTCGTGTCATAATAAAAGAAATTCTTCGCGGAAAAAAGAGGAAGAAATTTTTATGTGCATATATAAATTTTTAATATTGCGTCGCCTCTCTCTCTCTCTCTCTCTCGCCCTCTTTCTCTCTCTCTCTCTCTCTCTCTCGTGGCTTCGCGTTTTCCCGCGTGCGCGCACGTGTCATCTGATAGATTTGATTCGCGAAAATATCTTGTGATTACGACGACTTTAATTAAGTCACTCGCGCTTACGTTTTTTAATCCTTTATCAGTTCTCTGATATTTCTGATATATCGGGATCCATCTAAATGTTCAACAAGAAATGGTATCATTGTATTATCTACAAAGAGAAAAAATCTGCAAACGCGCGCATTTAAACTATACTTGGGAACTCTATCTATTCGCGTGTAAAAAATATTCTCCAAGATTCTTCGCAGTACTTATATAAAAAAAAAACTTAATAAAAGATAAAATCTTAAAAAAGATTTTGAAATACAATCTAAAATTGTTAAGAAGTATTGCTAGTCTCAATGCTGGTAGTATCGATCTCACGTATATATATCTCACGTATATATCTCTATCATTTACGGGCTTTTCGGAAGTACAAAGTTAAGCACGTGCCTAATTTGCCAGGGATCGCACAGAATTTTCGCGCGCGCGTGCGCGTGCATTTCATTATAAAAGGAAAGACGTGCGTAAGTTTATCAACGACACAAGTACATATGACATACAAACGTGACGATGAAACGTCCGACAGCAAACAGCTGTCGAATTTAAACAGGGTATTTTACTAATTGGAATATATTTATGTATACAATTATTAGGCACGTAAATATTCGTGTTGATACGAGCGTGAATCGCGATCGATATCGATGCGGATAGAAAAACGATGATAATATGAATATTTCGACTCGGTGGGCGGAACCGTGGATTCCGTTCGCGCTCCGTCCCAAGTATCGACCCGTGAAAGGCAGCTTCCAGCGACCTCAACCCCGTAACTGCCACCTACCCTCTCGTCACGACATTGAAACACGAAGTTAGCATCTTTGAGTGCCCCTCTCTCTCTCTCTCTATCTATCTCCTTTCTATCCTCCCTCTCTCCCTCCTTGGTTTCATGATTCAAAGGCTCATCCTTATCAAGGGCTTATGGAGGACGCTTCAAAACTTCAACGAAACCGCTCGATTATCTTCGGCATCCCAAAAGACCGCGTCGAATAAAAATCACGTTTCTTTCGGAAGATTGCAAATCTGATTGTTTATCATATTTACAGATGTGTCCGATATGCGATGTCAATATTATTTTTATAAAGTATAATAAAATTTAAGATATAACAAAAGGGTACATACACAGTTAATTGAATATATGCATAAGCTGACACGATCACTGTGTGTATGTAAAGCCAACAAAATTTTATCTTGATATATCAAACACTCTACCAATATTTTATCCCTTATCCAAATATAAATCTTAATTAAAGTTGTAGCACGTGTTTACAACTTTAAAAAAAAAAAAAGATTATTTTGTATTTCTCCCTAATAAATTTTTAGTTGAATAAGATCCCCTTTATTTATGTCAATAATCCTGATAATCAAAACTCTAGAAAATTTTTCGCCTCACCGATTCAAGTAGGACTATCATTCAAACGTATGCTTATAATCGAGTTAAAAACCAACCAGCGTTTTCAAAGTTTACAGAGTCAACGATGATTACTACGAGAAAAAATCCCCCTTTTCACGCTGCACGAAGCAAACGTTATTACAACAGAGCGCTCAATTTCTAAAACAAGCGGTCTTTAATTAAAGCGTTAATTCCGCTGACACCAGCGGGGAGCAACACGATCCGGCAAATCATACGTTTACGAAGTAGCGATTAAACCGTTAAAAGCACGCTGTTTTTTTTTCCTATAAAAAGCGATAATATAATATAATTCTGGCGATGCCAATAGAAAAAATATTGACATGACCCTCTGTCGCGGCATCAAAGTAAAAAACAAGAAAAATAAAGAATGCACAGGAATTTGTTGAAACCGGCGGGAGGGTAATTAATGTCGCCTATCTTTGCGGCAATGCAAGAGTATATATTAATGTATACAGAGTTTAAAAAAATTAAACCGACAAACTTTGAAGGGAAGTAGAGGACTTCAAAATAAAAATTTTTTGTTAATACTATTTTTCTATTCGACATTTAATTTTAATATTACTAGTGGAAGCATTTTCTACTACTTGTATCAAAACTCGCTCTTCAAATCGCGGAGTTCTCACTGAACGTCATCGTCCTTGTCCATCCGATCTTCTAAAAAAACCGTTCTCTTGTAAATGCCGATGAATAAACTAAAGACCTGCTCTATTGAGAATTTGAATATGATATAAGATCAAAACGAAACGTCGCAAAAAAAAATAACATTAACAAAAAATGTTTATTTTCGAAATGTTTATATCCTTTATTTCCCTTCAAAGTTTGTCGGTCTAATAGTTTTACATTCTGTATATACGTTAAAATACGAGAGAGAAATTGTCGATGAAATGTAAATTAATATGTAACGTATTGAGCAACGAAATACAAGTCTCGGAAATAAACATCACTACCGACGACATAAAATTCACGCTACGCTAGCGGTCGCATTATTTACGATCGTATATATACGAACGAGGAACTGAAAATATATTTCAGCGACACATGAAAAAAAAAAATTATTATAAAGGAAGAAAAGGAAAAACTCTCTATTAGCTCGATTTTCCGTAACGAAAGTTATTTTTCAACTTACAAATCATGAGTTTAATTAATCTGTATAATAATGGCTAGATATAAATTCATATTAAAGTTTTCAGTTTTGTTTTGTGATAACTGCATTGAATATTTTAATGTATCTATTATAACCGCAGAACGCACAAACACACATGTGATTCTGATTTGAAAAATATACAATTAAAAGATATTTTCGCGAAATAAAAATATTTCGAGAAACTACATTGTAATTAATATGAATCTTTCTAATTAATTTTTCATGATATAATTAACTATCGTTCCTCTCTCATATTTTCTCATTCTTTATCAATTTGATTTTTCTTCTATATACGTATAGATTTTAACATTTTAAATAATATTACGTTGTATGCACACACGGTTTGCTAGTATGACGGATTCATATCATTTACAGTATTATAAATATGGTAAAATCGTATCAAGTAAAAAAAATAAATAAATAAAAATATCAAGAATATTCGCATGATATATTTTTCTCGATATATGAGATCAAGCCGTTCTCTCTGACTGCGCTGAAAATATTTTATGCATATAAATTCCAGCAGAATTTTTCATCCGAGAAAAATGTCAGAAATTTCTTGTCGAAAAATTGTCCAATGCGAAATTAGAGCGAGATGTGCGCGCGCGCATAATTAATTAAAAATCTATCTATCGAATATTTAACGAGCACGTTTGGATCGAATAAACTCGGCGAGCTTCGCATGAAAGTTATTAAAGCAAATTCTAATTATCTCGATTTTCTGTTTCAGGAATTTAACATTGCAAAGGAGCAACATGCGGTACAACCATCGACGACCGAATCGGGTAATCATAAATTCCCTTAATAGAAGACTGTGTTCCCGCAAATCCTAGTTAAAGTTGTGTTATGATTCAAGTACGGAGAAAAGACGAGCGGGCAAAATGCTCTATTTATCTATTTCTTTAGTACAATTTCTAAGAAATTATATCTGTCTCCGAAAAGTAATTAAATTTCAATCCATGTTATAATTAACATTTAAATACATACATACACAATAACCTGTAAGAAGGTATTTACGGACTATAAATATTAATTATCTCTGAGAATTGCATCTCAAACGAGTACATGTAAAATTTGCTTTTATATTCATTAAACCATTTTCAAAATGTAATATTCCGCATTTCTAATATTCATTCAGAGACTCTCTCGATACGTCGTTCATTATCACCGAACGAAAGAATTTACGAGACTATCGTCGCGCATAATTGAAAGACTCTCAAAAGTTATTTCCCGGCCGTTATTACCATGATAATTTTTCATCCCGCTTAATTGTAATTCGTTTTCTATCTAAAGGCTTACCTCATCAAAGTCGCAGCTATCCGGGCGGTGGCGGTCGTACATTGACGAGAAACTCATCCGTCAGCTCGCAGAGCTCGATCGAGGGTGCGCCCTGCTCTTCGAGTCATCGCGGATCGTCGCCTCAGATCAGAGCTTTCGGCCCGGATGGACGGCATCATGCTCGACACGATCCCCTGCACGCCGCTTCCTCGTATCCACCTAGCAGAAACTCGAGGTTAGCACAGGAAAAGTACGACATTTATTCGTTTTGTCTGTAGAATTCAGAATGAGAAAAGACATTGAGAGAGCACGAAATAAATTTTTTAAAGCTTTATCAGAAAATGCGAGGGAAAAGACTTTCTTTAAAGTTTCAAAAAATGGATAGCATTTTCCTCCTTTTTTAAACTTGCATGGTTTTCAACGAATTTGCGTAAAACTTTGTTGATAGAGCGGCCATCACAATATGAATAAAAAATATTGTCGCAAAAATTTATTCAAATCACAAATACGTATATATGCATATGTCTAGTGTATTATTTTATAATGTATTGATTGTTCCATTAGAAGCTTTATTAAATAAATGACAGCAACCCTCTCATATCTCCTGCAACTGTTCTCATTTACAGATTTTTGAATAGTTTTTTAAAGATTATTTTATTTCTCTTTCTCGCACAATTTAATCTCTCTGTATACGTAATTTTCCTAAACTGGAAACGCGTACAATCTTTCACGCGACATTGCAATTTCTCCATGTTCTTTTTTACATAGATGCGTAATTTCCCATAGGTCTCCATCGCCAGCCCGGGTGGCGTCCTTGGATGCACGTTGTGCAAGTCCTGCCAGTAACTCGGGCAGCCTACATAGCGGAAATGCGTCGCCTTCGCAGACTTCTTTGTCGTCCGTGGCAACGGGCGTAAGTTCTACTTGCGGGTGTTCACCGATGAATGCCATTCAAAGTACTTCCAGACAGACTGGTCGTTGTTTATCGCCCCTTCTCATCCCACCGCCACGTGCTTCCATAAGGTAATAATAAAATTCTCATAAACGTAATCAATCATATTAAAATTTTTATAAAAACATGAACACTTATTCTCGCGTAAAAAGCTTTAATAAAATTGAGATAGACTAATTTAACAAAGAAATAAAAATTTACATATTAATTATATATCATTTTTATAAAGTAAAAATCATATGTTTCTCGTAAATAAGATTCTTTCTTAATTTAATCAATTTAATAATTATTTGAAAGCATTTTTTATAACATTAGCAAAACTTCTGTTAATCATGATTGATAATAAGATATTAATTAGCAAAAAATCGTATAAATTCTTTTTGGATTTTTTTTTTTTTTTTCGAGTATTTTAGCTTTCATTGAATCTTTTTTATTTCCTTATAGATTGTATTTCTCTTATTTCTTATTTTTCTACAGTAGCGACGGTGGCCCCATACCACCTGCTTCTCCGCTCGGTTCTTTACAACCGGATCTGTATCAAAGACGAGATGGTCCTGTCTTTCTCAGTGCTCGCAGGTATATAATAAAACTTTCATAAAACTTCACTCTGATAAAAACCAGATCTTAAATTACTCTCTCTCATGCTGCGCAACAAAAAACATTCGATTATTGCTAGAGATAAAAACATGTACATCTGTGTATAAACCGTGATAATCGCAGGACGGGCAAGCAATTGGGCAGGCTTCATTTGCGTTTGAGATACGACTTCGATAAATCGGACTTGGACGTGCACTTGATCGAGGCGCACGATCTCGCCGGTAGCGATCAGGGTGGTTTCAACGATCCCTACGTAAAGTTGAGCCTCAGCCCGGAAGTAGACAGTAGGAAAAGGCAGACGCAAATCCATCGAAACGATCCGAATCCATTTTTCGATCAGCACTTCAAGTTTCCCGTCAGCTACGAAGAGCTGCAGGAGAAGACTCTAGTTTTGCAGGCAATTATATTGCGTCGTAGAACGTAGAGTATTGAATTGGGAACGCGCGTTCGCAATTCGATTGCATAATCGTCAAAATAATATGATAATCTGTTTGATAATATGCACAACGTAATATTATTAGGTATTCGATTACGATCGCTTCTCGAGAAATGACGTGGTGGGTTCGCTGAGGGTGGTGATGGATAGCCTCGAACTCGTTTCCTCTACTTCCTCGGTGGAGGTTTTTGGTGAAATAGCGAGAGAACGCAAACCACCGGAAGAAATTCAAGAGGTCTTGGTTTCATTGTCTTACTTACCAAGCGCTGAGAGGCTCACGGTGCTCATAATGAAAGCAAGAAATCTGTTTCCCCCGCAGGTAGGATATGGCGATGTGCTATCGCTATAATCGCATCGATAAGAATAAGAGCTTTCTTCTCTCCCTCAAATTGTCCCATATCGCTCCTTACCTGGAAAATAAAGAGTAGTTCACGTTTTATTTATATACTTCCGGCTAAATAGAAATATTTTTTAATAAATAAAACTTCTATAGATATATTCCTTTAAGTGTGTATGTGTATGTGTGTATGCCTGAACAATATATATTTTGATTAACGTGGCGCACAGGATAAGGAAACGTTGGATCCGTTCGCGAAAGTCAGCCTACTTTGCGGCGAAAGGCGAGTGAGGAAGAAGAAGAAAACAGCTGTTAGGAGAGCGACGATAAATCCCATTTGGAACGAAGCGATGTCATTTAACATACCCGCCTCGTCATTAATATCGTCGGCCATAGAGGTATCTAATTTTTTTTTTTACAATTAAAAATTACACAAATGATATTATATAAATTGGACAAAAAAAAAGATTAATTAATCACGTCTGTGTGTAAGATATGCGTGCTAGATTCGAGCAGCGAGTTGATGAGCGGAAATGCTATCGTCGGGTCCTGCATCATCGGTCCGGCATCTACAGGCACGGACAGCGGTAACAGCCAGGGACGAGAGCACTGGCTTCAGATGACACAGTCGCCGAGGAAACAGATCGCGGAGTGGCACACGCTACATTAATCGGATCCGATCGAGGGCTGTTTAATCGCCCTCAACGTAATTCGCGCGTCCTCGCTTTCTCGAGGGAAATACAATCTATCGTCGTAACGACGGATAGTCGAATAGTATACCACGAATATTACACTTATCACGAAATACGTAGCGATATTGCATGTAAAATGGCAAAAAATAACGGGTCCTATCCCTTTCGAAAAAAAAAGAAAGAAAAAAAGACGATGATCTCTATCAAAAAACCTATTCTTCTGCACTTTTATAGGTATATTAATGAACGTTAAAGATTTGTGACATATCATCTGGAATGTCGATGCGAAAGAAGAAAAAATGAAGGAAAAAAAAGTAAAAAGGAAAAATAATCGTGAATATTCTCTTCGTATATCCGTGCACTAACTGATCCAGGCACATGCACTCACATTTCCGTTCGTTGCACGATACTTGATGCTATATGCGCGAGATCCAACTGTATATTTCTTAATTTTTGGAGATGCCTCACCGAGATTTAGACATGTACTTTTGAAATAATATCGCGCTGAGATATTTATGCGGACTCCTCTCCCCGAAGCGAAGCTGTAACGAAGGGAAACGTGATCCAAGCTGTGAAGCAAAAGCGGAGACCGATCTCGCGCGTTTCGCTTAACAGATCAATAATTAAACGTACAAACTAATATTTTAAGATTAAAAGATTGTCTCGAAGAGACGATTCTTATCAATTTCTCCGAGTACGCTGATCGAAAATCCGTTGCACCCTCGGTGAAAAGAGCTATTTTCTCTCAGGTTTATTCAGTATATACATACATTTCTCTCATATAATTACATTATGCTTCTTCGCGAGAGAGAAAAAGAGAGAGAGAGAGAGAGAGAATGAGAAAGAGAAAAGATCACGATATATTATATATCAAGAAGAGTCCAAGTCTGTCATTGTCTGTGACAAATGTGGCCTGGAAGAGCATTCAAAGTGCGCCATGCCTATATAGCTTTTGCAGACTAATCGAAAAGATCTAAAAATATCTCCATGAGCGAGCATGCTAATCGCGAAAATTGATTGTCGTTGTCGCTGTGTATTGTCGAATGTATAATTCATGTGCTAAATAAAACGGAACATGATGCGTGGAAAGAGAAATCGAGCGTGATATGTCTTGCACTCGTTTTAACATGTCGAGCATGATTAAGATAATTGGCAAAATAAAATTTGTTTGTTACACTTTCAACGAGATATCCTCCGACAAAAAAATTTATATATAAATTTATTTCTTCTACTATATATATATATATTATAACGGAAAGTTAAGTCTGATCTTTAAACGAATTAAGAATTATAAATAAAAAAACTCTATATTCGACCAAAATTCACCATATCATATCAATAATTTAAAGTTTGCACTATCGGTCCTATTTCTTCTACGTTTAAATATCGAAATAAAATAAGCCTGCCGGTTGTCAAAAGATTTAATCGTATGTACTTACAATCGTCTACATCGTCGCGTCTTGTAAGTGTCTGTGGTTTGTCAGTTAAACTTGCATTGTCGTGACCCAATTATTGGAAAAAAAGAATTAAATGTTAATGAGAGCGTTAAAACTATATATAAAGTAAAATATTATACATAATAAATAAGTATAATTATATATATATATA